ATTTTCTGAAAGCACTCACTTGGGAGTCTGCCTATCTGCAGCAGTGACTCAGCAGCAAAAATGAAGGGGATGCTATAAAGCAGAGCACTGCAAGGATATAATTCCTGTCAGAATAACATTTTTTGAGTGCTTGCTAATGCCATACTAGAGTCTGGGGGAGAAATAGCTGCATTCATTCTTCTCAGAGGTAAAACTCACTACTTGGTGTAGGAGAAACTCCCTTATGGAGGCAGTTTGCTTTTTTATGTCTGAAGTAGTTTCACATTCTTAGCTATAAACTGCCCTGCAGTGACAAAGCCAAAATGTGCAGACTTTTACACAGGATCTTTTATATTCTTTATTTAGTAGTAGTTTGCCCATCACGGGAAGGGACAGAAAGAGTCCCTGCAAATTACAGAACAAATGCAAAAATTCAGCAAGGGAGACTTCGGTCTTCAGTATAAATACAGTGTGCAGCAGAATGTCACTCCTGACTTTGAATATTTGAAATTTTTCATAGGAAACAAGGCAGATTTGATCACACTTTGTATCTATTTCTCTCCAGAAGCTACTTGTTGACTTCAGAAAAAAAATAAACTGCAAAAATTAGTATTTCAAGGACAGCTAAAAGGCAAAAGATTTTGAGAAAAGTGGGGTGTTGGTTTTTTTCAAACAACTCAAAGAAAAGTGTCAACACAGAAGTTGTTAGATAACAAATAGTCCACAGAAGTGAGTGACCTTCTAAGTGTCCCAGGGGAAAAGTCTCAGTCACACCTCGGACCTACAGCCAGATATCCCTAGAAACCCACACTAAAGCGGAAACAAGGTTTCATTAGTTCTGGAGCTTGTTTTATAAACTTCCTTCTTAGATCAGCTACCGCTCCCTCTCCACAGAAATTAGGTCTCTAATTATAGTATTGTATAAATGCAAAATTTACCGAGTTTCATTTTCTGTCCATTCCTACCAGGGTCTGCATTCTAAACTGCAACACATTTGGCAGGACTACTAGTAGCACAAAATGCTGCCACAAATTCTTTAGGTAGCAAAGATGCTTGTATTCAGGTTGTCTGTGGTTCAATAAGTGACTCTTAAGTTTTCAGAAGGGTAATGCCCAATTAGTGCCCATTAACAGAGACAAAATAATCATAGAATCATAGAATCTTAGGGGTTGGAAGGGACCTCGAAAGATCATCTAGTCCAACCCCCCCCTGCCAGAGCAGGGTCACCTAGAGCACATCACACAGGAACGCATCCAGGTGGGTTTTGAATGTCTCCAGTGAAGGAGACTCCACAGCCTCTCTGGGCAGCCTGTTCCAGTGCTCTGTCACTCTTACAGTAAAAAAGCTTTTTTCGGATATTCACCTTGAACCTCCTATGCTCCAATTTACACCCATTACCCCTTGTCCTATCACTGGTCATCACTGAGAAAAGCCTAACTCCATCTCCCTGACACTCACCCCTTACATATTTGTAAACATTGATGAGGTCACCCCTCAGTCTCCTTTTCTCCAAGCTAAAGAGACCCAGCTCCCTCAGCCTTTCCTCATAAGGGAGATGTTCCACTCCCTTAATCATCTTCGTAGCTCTGCGCTGGACTCTTTCGAGCAGTTCCCTGTCCTTCTTGAACTGAGGGGCCCAGAACTGGACACAATACTCCAGATGTGGCCTCACCAATGCAGAATAGAGGGGGAGGAGAACCTCTCTTGACCTACTAACCACACCCTTTCTAATACACCCCAGGATGCCATTGGCCTTCTTGGCCACAAGGGCACATTGCTGGCTCATGGTCATCCTCCTGTCTACCAGGACCCCCAGGTCTCTTTCACCTACACTACTCTCCAGCAGTTCAGCCCCCAACCTGTACTGGGACATGGTGTTGTTCTTCCCCAAATGTAAAACTCTGCACTTCCCCTTGTTGAATTTCATCATGTTTCTCCCCGCCCAACTCTCCAACCTATCTAAGTCTCTCTGAATGGCAGCACAGCCTTCTGGTGTGTCAGCCACTCCTCCCAGCTTAGTGTCATCAGCAAACTTGCTGAGGGTACATTCTATACCCTCATCCAGGTCGTTGATGAAGATGTTGAACAACACCGGTCCCAGCACCGACCCTTGTGGGACTCCACTAGTAACACACCTCCAACCAGATTCTACCCCATTGACTACAACTCTCTGACTCCTTCCTTTCAACCAGTTCCTAATCCACCTCACTTCCTGGTCACCAAACCCATACCTGATCAACTTATCCACAAGGATGCTGTGGGAGACGGTGTCAAATGCTTTACTGAAATCAAGATAAACCACATCTACCGCTCTACCATCATCTATCCACCTAGTAATTTCCTCATAGAAGGCTATGAGGTTAGTCAAACATGATTTACCCTTGATAAAACCATGCTGACTGCTCTTGATGACCCCCATGTCCTTGATGTGCCTGGAGATAGTCACAAGAACAAGTTGTTCCATCACCTTTCCAGGGATGGAGGTGAGGCTGACCGGTCTATAGTTACCCGGGTCCTCCTTCTTGCCCTTCTTGTAGACTGGAGTGACATTTGCTATCCTCCAGTCCTCAGGCACCTCACCTGTTGCCCATGATTTACTGAAGATGATGGAGAGTGGCCTAGCAATGACCTCCGCCAGCTCCCTCAGCACCCTTGGGTGCATTCCATCTGGACCCATTGATTTATGGATGTCCAGATTACTCAACTGATCCCTAACCCAATCCTCATCTACCATGTCAAACTCTTCCTCTATCTTGACTTCTTCTGGGGCTATATGAATCTGGGGCTCATAGGGAGACCCTGCAGGAGTGAAGACAGAGGCAAAGAAGGCATTCAGCACCTCTGCCTTCTTTATATCCTCTGTCACCAGGGCTCCCACCTCATTCCTCAATGGGCCAATATTGCCTCTATTGCTAGTTTTGCTAGCTATGTACTTGAAAAAGCCCTTTCTATTATCCTTAACCTGACTTGCAAGGTTAAGTTCCAAGGAGGCCTTAGCTTTCCTAATTGCCTCCCTACATCCTCTGACAACAGTCCTATATTCCTCCCAAGTGACCAGCCCCTCCTTCCATGATCTATAGATTTTCCTTTTCCACTTAAGTTTGCCCAGTAGTTCCTTCTTTAACCATGCAGGTCTCCTAGCACCCTTACTAGATTTCCTAACCATTGGGACACTCTGATCCTGTGCTTGCAAGAAGTGGTCCTTGAATGTTGACCAGCTATCTTGAGCTCCTTTATTTTCTAGCACCCTGTCCCATGGGATTTCCCTTAATAGATGATTGAGGAGACCAAAGTTTGCCCTGTGGAAGTCCAGGGTTCTGGTCCTGCTGGGTATTTTGTTCCTTCCACACAGGATATGTACTCATATAAAATCTGTTTTGTTGTGATTACATCAGCTCAGTTAAGATTTTATTAGCATTTAAATTCTATCACCATGCCTTACAAATTAGGTAGTTAATATTGTACAAACAAGGCAAACAAATAATTATCTTACTGTATTGCTTAATAATCTACCTGGTCTTCTGACATTTTTCAAAAAGAATTTTCAGCTTCAGTACAATACATTTTTTTTCTACTATGTTCTTGTTTGTTACACAGTTGTCAGGCTTTTCACTCTCAGTCTATCCTTCTTTCTCTCTTTCTTTACCTTTCTTCTTTTAGATTCTGTAGTATTGCTACATTAAAAGAGAAAGCAAGGAGACTTGCTATTAAGGGGAAGAAATTCAAAGTAGAGTGAAAAGTCATAGCAGTACTGTGAATAATTAGAATGCAATGATTCTTTGAAATATAAATATGTGTAATTTTATTTTTCCTAAAAAGCACATAACCATCCATGGCCACATTCCAGTCATGCGACCTGTCCCACCATGTCTCTGTTATTGCTACCAGATCATAACCCTTAGCCTGCACACTGACCTCTAACTCTTCTTGCTTATTCCCCATGCTGTGTGCATTAGCAGACAGGCATTTCAGGAAACAAACAGAGCACACTGCTGGGACTAAATCCTCCTTAGACCACCTGCCTTCGGGCCCTGGTTCATTCCTCTTGTGCTTGTCCCTAAATACCAAAAATAATACCAAAAGCATTTCTCACACAGAAGAGAAGGTGTGGATTACCTTCATTGTACTTCAGATTATTCAAGAGAGAATCCTAGGTAATCTCTTTCTGCTCCACTTACAGTTAGATCAGATAAACATGCACTTTAGAATGCAAATCAGCTAACCTCCTTTGGATATGCCCTTTGTTGTGAGACAAATGAATGTTGAAAGTTACTATCTCAAATTCCGGTAGAGGAAGCCTAGGATTACTAGCTCAGACAGGCATCTGTTTTGCAACTTTTGAATTTGTAGACCTCCTACTGTAGTACTAACTATACATCCCTCAAGCACTGTGAATAAATTTTATATTCTTATAGGTGAGAGACTATTTTCTTAGTGTAAATACGTAATTGTGATGATGTACCTGTTCTAACATACACAGCCCTGCTAAAATAAGATCTGGTGCTGATCTAGAAGTTTATTCAAGTCATATGAATCACTTCATCACACATTATTGATTTTTGGCTTTGTTCTGGCAGATAGCATCAACTTCTGATCCCCCTTAAATGTGTGGTACTCCAGACAGGGCCTTCTGATACTTCAGTCTTTAAGGACCCTGAATTAGATAACTCAAAAACTTGGGAAATATGTCAGTTGACTTCCTATAACTTGAAAAAGAATTTACTTCTCTTTTAAAACTCAGACTCATTAGGACAGCATATGAAAAAGTAGAAAACACGTGTTTTTTTAAATGTGCTTTTAATCATTCAGAGAAAATAAGATGATTATAAAAGAATCCTAAAGGCCAGGCACTTGGAAGAATACAAAGTCGTGTTCTTCCTTTGTGCACAAATAAATAGAGCACTGTTAAAACAGAGAACAAACAGATTACAGTAACTAGGAAAAGCAAAGTTCAAAAGTAGTCAAGAAAGATGAAAAGGTGCATAATCCTTTTAGTTAAATGCTGCAAGGTTTTTAACTCTTCATTTTGATGTGAAGCTAATGGCCCTCTTGATACGGTTCAGAACCTTGGCCTTGTCTTTTTCTTCTGTACTCTGCAACTCATTGGATTGTGAGCTGCTGCATTCAGTGTCTTGACAGCTGCAGCTTTCCACATATATATACTTATGCAGAATTAAATTCCCATCAGGGCATTTCAGTGTCACCATCTTCTCGGAACTCCTTGATTCCCTGCAGCAGGAACAGCTGTGCTCCATGGAATTGGCCTCAGCAGAGTACCTGTTAACATGGAAAAGGGCAACATTACTCTGTGCTATAAACCATCATACAGAGAAGAGGGTGAAATTAGGTACAGAACTCTGGTGAGAAGTTTGGATTAATGTGTAGAGTGGCCACAGTTGTGGTGAATGAAAGCACTCAGCTGACGGAGCAGTGGTTGTAATATATTTCTAAAATTCATTGCATTTGTTAATATTTTTTTTCTGATAAAACAATTAGTATCAAAGTTACAGTGCAAAAACAAACTGAGTTCTAGAAGCTCAGCTTCCTCTATATTCCTCTCATAATCCTAGTGCTGATGGGTGTTAGATGCACCAGATCAACAATGAAGGGCAGACAAAGCCCTGATCTGAGTAAGAAAATCATACAGGCAAGTGGCTGCAATGCCATATACAATGGAATCATATCAACTGGCTACAAGGGCTACAACTGTATGAAGTGATCCAAAGTTCATATCCCAAACTGGGCAGTGTTAATAAGAAATGGGAAACATCAGATCTTTCTGTTCCTATCTCAAAGCAACGTATTTTTTGCCACCTTGTTCTTGCTCATCAGCTTCTCAAGCAGCATTCAAAATCTGCAAAATCTGTTAATGTCCAGTTATAAACTGTGTCAGGAGCCATATTGTCCTTGCATTTGTATGCAGAGGCAACCACGGGAAGACTCTAAGATGATAAGGTATTTCAAAATACTGATAAACCCACTAGCTAATTGGGGGTCAGTATGACACTAAAGATCAGTTTTCTCCCATGTAAGGTGCACTGTGGCATATTCAGTGATAGGCAGAAAACAACAATTTCTTTGGGGAGTTAAAACTGTGTTTTTATAGTGTTTTAATACCTCAGTACTAGATGTCCTACTAGTTGGTTTTTATATTGCTGATTTCTTGTAAATTCTACTATTTCAGAAAAAAGTGTACAGAGAAACTACTCTACTAAGGCTGCCCCTAAAGCATTTGTATAAAAATCATGCATGTTTTAATATGCATTTAATTTTATATGTTTATTGTTGAGAAGCAGCTTTTCTGCTTATGAGCATCAGTTCTGGCTGCTCTCTTGGCTTATTCCTGTTACAGGTTCTTTTGTGATGATTTCTAGGCAAGGTGGTCTGACACAAATGACATAAAAGGCAGCTTTTAGTGGATGAACAGACTTTTTCATAGCTGTCTGATTCCCAAGGCAATTTAATACACTTTCTGTTTTTTAGTAAGATGAATCAAATGTTCAGTCACAAATTTCATTATTTTGTGCCCATGATTTGGGGAGCTGATAGTTTCAGGTCTTCTACCATTCTGTAGTCTACCTATTTATTGTTCCTTTTATTTAAACAAGCTCAGTGACAGCCAAATTCAAATCTCATTGTATGAACAGTTTGCTTACAGTGAGAAGGTTCCACATGTTCCTTCACATTCAGTCATGACAACTCTGTCCACAGAACGGCAGCCCTTATAGACAATAAAGTCTGTTCTTTCACGGACAGAGCATGGTGTAGGACTATCCAGAGGTGCACCTATAAGTAAAGATCAGAAAATACTTAGAGTGAAATAGCTACAGCAGTTCCTTGCAGTTCAGCAGTCTCTGAGCTTCACTAGTCCACTCGAAGAATTATCTTAAGTGGTCTTTCTGCTTCAGTTTAAACTTTACTAGAGAGATGGCACAGTCAATGCTTGGAATAACAAACATGAAGTAACTATTTAAATACAAACACATCAGCCTCTATGGCTGAAAAATGGGTTGATTTAAGAAGAAAATTCATTATCTGTGTTGATGATTCAGATATTCTGGCATACTTACAGGTTTTGCAACAACCGTTAGGTAAGAATGTAATAGTTCCCTAAAAAACAAACAAACAAACAAACAAAAAGGAAAAAATATTAATTTTTTTCCCCTCTGTATCAAAGAATATTTTAGGTCAATAACTGAGGAGAGCAACTCCTCTGTGGCTGGAAATAAACACCAAAAACTGTAGCATTCATCTAAATTAACAAAAATAATGGTCTCTTCCAGACTTGAAATCTATCCATTTACAAAGGACTGTGGAAATAAACACTTTGAAGGAAGTACACAGCTGCTATCATGCAATTTTTTCCTCAGAAATAATTTAAAATAAGTATTTTCTCCAAGAGGTCAATATTTGAATGGGGAATATGCATGATGTTACTGACAGCCTACTGACTGAACAGCTCATGTTTCTCTATCATGAAAGAACATGGTTCCTGTTTAAGACAGGACCCCATACAAAGCAGTCAGTGAGGACATTGTACCCCAGCATTTTGGCTCCTTAGAGGCAGCTGCCAGTTATAAACCTTGAGCTCTAACTCAGTTATCTTGTTTTGTACTCTCTAAGGTCTGTGCATGGATGCAGCAGAAACTGAGAAAATTTGATGAAAGGTCAACAGAGTTTAATTGGAAATTTTTTGCTAGTTTGGTGGCTGAACTAAACTGAAGTAATCATTGAGTAGAAGGTAAGTTTTCTGGATTTACTTACAGGTTTGCAGCTGTCCTCATTGAATGCTGGGCAGGTAATCTCAGATGTGGAAGAGATAAACTGATTGTGCATCGTTACACAGCTATAAATGGTGCAGTTGTTGTTAGGATCATTTTTAAACTCTCCAGGCTGCAAGCAAAATACAAAATGTAATACGAAAAGCTGAAGGGAGCTCAGACAGAAATTTTGCTATCTTCCAACAATGACATTCCTCTTGTTTCCCAGTTAAATATGTTTAGGTTAACAGCCATTTTGGATACAGAGTATTGCAGTATACCACACATGGAGAGAATCTTCAGTTTTACATGGAATTTCCATTGGAAAATAAAAAACCCTCTGAAGTATTTAGAACACAACAGAATTATTATCAAGCTCATCCATGTCAATGGATTTTGCCTTGGGAAAGCTATTACCAATTACCTATGGTAATTCAGAACAATCCTAAACTTTCACCACCCAGAGGTAATAAAATTGTTTAATATACAGGCTTTACTAGTGTTTTTCAGTACACAGAAATCAAATCATATAGAAAACTTAAGATTCCAGACATCACACAAAAAACCTTTTCAAATATATTAGGTTCCTGAAAATTTAATGTCATGAGTCTTTCCTTTGGGCCAAGAACTTGTCATTAGGCTTTGTTTTAGCTGAACACCTTTCAAGTGCAAACATACACTAAACTTTATCTCTGACAAGGGGGAATTTTACAAATTTGGTAGAGACATAAGATGTAGAGCATACTTACACTCAAGATGAGGTTAGAATTTTGTGCTGTATGTATAACACACTTAGTCTGCACACATTTTCCACAACATTCACCTTTCACTGGTCGACGTTCGTAACCCTAGATATTAAAATTAATTAAAATATGAAAGCACTATGATAGATGCATTTTTGAGAAATAAATGAAAAAGTACTAACCCATTAATTAATTATATCTTGAAGTGTACCCTAAATTTATGCCTTTCTATGCCTGTGTCCCAGCTCAACAGAAGACAGTAAAAGCAGACAGTAGATGGAAAAATTAAAACACAATAATAAATATGCCTAATAATTAAATATCACTCTATTGAGTCCCCTACAGAAATTTTACAGTTAATCGTCCCTATGTGAACTGAAGACTGTAAGTTACACAGTCAAGATTCACGCAATAGATTGCTCAAGCACAGTTGGCATCCATGTTGAAGCTGGACTCCCTATTTCTGCTCCCTGCCCTTTGCTCATATCACTCATTGACCAAACTGCTTTTCAGGTTAATGGGTATTTAAGGGGATTTTGTTTGTTTGTTTTAAATTTCTCACTTACTGGTTCACAATATGTGTCACATGGAATATGTTCACATGAGATGATATTCAGTTGAGTGCTGACGTTAACTTCGTTAGTGCAGAAACAATTCTGACACTTATCAACGAAGACTGAGGAATTAGGCTATAAATTTTAAGAAAATAGTGTTAATAAATTAATGACAGCTGACATGTGTGATAGACATTTCTTAATTTCTAAAAACTCCATGAAGCAAGCCATTAAAAAAGAAATAAACAGTATTGACTAGCTGTTTAGTTAGCTATATATGAAGACAATATTTTAAGTACTTAATTTAATTTAACATGTCTTTATTCAGGTCCTAGATAGCAATGAGAAACTCAGAAATTAAAAGGACAGGTATCATGCAAATCTCTGCAATAAAACAATTACTAGACCCAACAATTTATTTGGAATCTAGGTCTGTTTAGAATAATACTAATTTAGAACTCTTTTTCTTTTCAAAATCGTAGTCTTAAAACTACAGTACCATGTTGACAGTAAATGTGGACTGACTTTTTAAAATGCATGCACATTTAACTCTAAACCCAAATCTCTCTCTCATACTGACATACAAAACAACTCTTCAGTCTCTTCCATACACACCAACCTTTCCAGAAGATATTTAGGCTTTGTGATACTGATGAACTTCTGACAGGAATTTACATTTTTTTTAAGATATTGACTGTACTCGATAAACCTCCTCATAGCACTTCTGATAAAGTGTACTAACTGGTCTTTTAAGCATTTTCAGAACATTGTTGAAATAGGAACTTACCAAGAACTCAGCACTCTGATGTACACAAACCCTCTTGGGAACTGTTAACAAGCAAGGATTTAGGTGGTTACATAGGGGACACTGCAGTTAAACTCACTTCTTCCACAGTGAATCACAATACATGTGGACAAATTCCCCATTTCAGGCAGCAGACACAACATATATAAAGTATAAGTACAAATACTGCATGTGCAAAAACGTAGTTTTTGCCCAATATCCGCAGTACAGTTCATAGCCAAGAATGTCCACTTAACAGGTACAAGTCATTCTCTGTTTCAGTTACCAAAACCAAAGCAGGCTTTGTAAAGGTTTCTTCTACTGGGGATGCTTACAGGGACATTTTGCTGCATTAACCTGAGACAACAGTCCCAGTTAATTCTGCAGCTGTTCTTACATGTACTTACAACTAGGAAAATTGAACTTGTGCCATCTGAGCTGTATTTTATTTTGTAGCTGTTTGTCATAACCATAACAGTAGTAACCAATGTGAATAGTAACCAATTTGTACAATATGACTGTGTTTATTACCTCTTTCAATATGCTATTGCATACTGCCCTGGTTAGAGCCAGGATAAAGTCAATTTTCTTTTTAGTGGTTGTTTTTTTTTTCCTTCAGTGAGCTCTCTTTTAACTAGCAGAAAGTTTTACAGTTAGTAGACTGATAACACTGGAATGTTGATGTATTTAATTAAAGCTGTGTAGTTTAGTTTTCAATCCAGAAAGTGTCTCATTCTTTTACTCTCTCTCCTTTGCCTACCTGGATGGGGGGAGGGAGGGGATATCAAGCCCATTATTGTCCCTGGTTTAATTGCCCATCCTGAGTCAAACCCCAACACATACAGTTTTAGTAAGTATGTTGTTAAATGATGTAATATATAATGTTAAGAATCGTGTTATATTTCCAAGGTACTTACCACACTGGTATACAGGGCAGCACTGACCACTGGGGATATGAGACTGAACTTCAAATCCCAGTGTACACTTGGGGGCTTTGGTTGTGCACAAGCTTGTATTGCATTCTGGGGAAAAAAAAAAAAAAAAGGAATAAGAAAGTACATTACATCGCAGCTACTACAAATAGGCATCTATTAAAGCATTTAGGATAGACATTCCGTTGTCTGGAAACAGTCCAGATCCTCTCCAAAGAAACAAACTGCAGAAGGAAAACACTTTTTTCATAGTGAATCCATGCATGGGACTGGGGGACTACACTAGTTTATTAATATTTTTCTGCTATGCAAGTGTTAAAAAAGTATCACAAGTAGTAATAGTGGCTAATGGTTACTTTCACCGAGTTTGTAGGCAACTGCTGCAAAATGAAAACCCACAAAGAATTTCGTAATCTATCTGCATTTTAATTGCATAAAATTTAGACCTGAACTCAAGAACTATACATTCAGTTATGCTGAGTCCCATAACTGTAAATTCAGTTATGCTGGATCACTGCAATATTGAAACATCTTTTCCATAACACTGGGCAAGCTGATTTAAAAAAGTATGAGGAAAGATATTATTTTGTGATTCCCTGCTGCAGGTCTCTGGTGCTAAACCAATTAAATCCTCTTTTCCTTTCTATTATTAAAAAGTATAGAAAGACTAGAAATAAAAGTATAAACTCACTGCAGGTGACAATGGGGCAGCAAGAGTCTTCAGGATTGACTTCATTGACCTTATAGAAGCCTTCTCCATCACAACTGATCTTATCTTGTTTGGGACATTCATGAGGATTACATACAATGCCAATTCCACCTTCCAGGCAAATACAGTCCTGACAGTCAACTGTGAATTTTTCCCCAAACTGTCATTAAAGAAAATAAAGTGAGTGATTGTGTGCTTACCAATTAAAAAAAACAGAAGTAAAAACAGGAGTGGAAGTTTGGGAGACCACAAAGCAAGACTGCATCAGTGGAGACCACTCCCCTCCCCCTCCCCCAGCCTCTATTTGAAATATAAAAGTGTACAGCAGCATACCTCTCTTGGTATCTTATCCACTCCAACACAACCTGTAAAAATAAAAAAAACACATTTCCATTACCATTCATCTAACAGTAGACATCTTTACTATATATTGTTTGAGTACTTCATACAGCCAGATCTATGTTGCATTCATGAGAAGTAAAAAACAAAGAGGAAACAAACATGCATCCAAGTGAAGCAGTAAAACTCACCACAGGTTTTCACGCAGACATCCACACCAGAGTCGTACAGCATTGTCCCATTAGGACAGAAACAGCCTTCCACTTGTTTAGTTGAAGTTTCATTTTGGTGACTGTATGAGACAAAATGTTCAGAGGAACACCGTTACTGTCACAGGCACTCAGAGGAAGATTATACCAAAAAAACTTTCACTGAAGATATAGTGGCAAATGATCTGCACATTTCTGACTTAGGGATTGTCAGTGTTCATGGTTGATATAGCCAAACAACATAAACAATACAGGCATCCAGATTTAGGATCAAGAGAATGGTAGCAAATTTGGCAGTCAATTTAAGACACAGCAGCAGGTTTATTTCTCCCATCCATCTATGTATTAAATATGACTGAACTTTTATATGAGCTATAATAAACAGTAAAGGAATTGTTTACCTTGATTTGCAGGTTATCTCTTTAACAGGACCACATGCTCTGTATTCTTTATCTGTGGGGCATTTATAAGCTACAATGGGAGAATAAAAAGGAGGAAGATTTCAGTAAAAATATAATATAAAAGCCCCATGGCCTTATGCCAAGAAACTAAACACTGACTACGTGTATGTATTTGCTATGTATTTTTTACAATCTTGAGAAGGAAAAAGGAAAAAAACCCAGATTATCACTCATGTCTCTGAATGGAATTATTTTATGCGATTTAGCTATAGAGATAGAGAACCATTCTTTACATTATGGAACTAAAGCCAAAAGTCTACATCGTGATTAAAAATTTCTTCGTAGTTTTGGTCTCTTTTGCACAAGTTCTTGAAGGGAAGGGTATTCCTACCCTCTGTCCTCTTCCTACTATAACTGAAACTGAATGAATATGTCACTAAACACAGTGATCTGCTGATGCCTGTACAGCACAAAACTGCCCATGTACCAAAAAGTATCCACTAAAGCAGATGTTTCTGGCACAGTTGACTTATGTATAATTTTGCAGGCTCATTTAACATTTCATTGTTAAAAATGTTACCAGTAAAATTACTTGAGGAAGGCAGCTGGTGTGATGTATTGGTGTTTTCTTTGCTCAGAAAGCAATATGACTTATCATTAGGACATTCTTGCCAAAGCATCTCTATATAAGTTTCCCTAATAATTCAAGGTAAATGGCCAAATACTTACTACAAACACCCTTGGTATGACTTCTCCAGTCAATGCATACACCCTGATCAGCACAGGTGGCAGCATAGATCTGCAGACTTGAGCATTCCAGATCTAAGTTGGGAAGTACACAACTATCAAAAACGCAGGCTGCATAGTACTTCTCAGGATGAACGAATTTGTGGCATGGCTCGAACACACTAGAAACAGTAACATTTATCATTATTAGTTACTGAATAATCCATTACTTCTTCAATGTGCTTACCATGTTATATATAATGTGGCAACAGTGGTGCTTAAGGAGATGTGAACAACTATTACTGAGAGATTTTTACTAAGAGCACATATCAAAATTGTAACCTTTCAAAGTATCTTAAAGTATTCTCCTACAAAACACTCAGGTGCCAATACTTTCTGTCGAGGAGCTACGTGACTATTATCTAGTGTAACTACTTTTCTAAAGAGATTTTGTTTGATTTTTTGGCTTTGTTTTAATTCTGACATGACGTTCTAAAAATGAAGAACTTTTGTAGTCAGTTGGACTCTGTTTTCTGCAGAGTGTAGAAAAAGGCAAAAGCATAGGACAGTGGAAGGCAGAGAGCATACAAGAATGTGAGAATATCAGGAAAGGTTAATACAGCAGCCAGAGGGTTGGAAACAAATATCAGAAAATAACGACATCTGTAAATAGTAAAAGGAATGGAAGCAACCCACAAAGTTACAAGAAATGGAGCAATAGTTAGAAATACTTTTATTTAGGAATGGATCCACTTGCCACTTCATTTGAAGATAAAAAATAAATCTGAGAGGAATGTATACCTTCCCAAAAGAAGCTCACAGATGGCAGATTCTTTGCAAGGCTGTGTTGGGGTTGTGCTAGGTGCTTTTGTAGGAGATAGGCCTGGAGAGCACTGTGGTTTAGAGGGATCAACAACTTGCCAATGATCTGCCATAGTTTCACAGTTTTCTGCAATGTTTCCATTTGGCAACATACAGTCATCTGCTGTGTTGTTATTGCAAGTACCTAAAATTGGTAAGGGGAGAAATAATTCACTCACAGATTTGTTATCAAATCACAGAATCACAGAATCTTAGGGGTTGGAAGGGACCTCGAAAGATCATCTAGTCCAACCCCCCTGCCAGAGCAGGATCACCTAGACCACATCACACAGGAACTTGTCCAACTGGGTTTTGAATGTCTCCAGTGAAGGAGACTCCACAACCTCTCTGGGCAGCCTGTTCCAGGGCTCTGTCACTCTCACAGGAAATAAGTTTTTTCTGATGTTTACATGGAACCTCCTATGTTCCAGTTTGCACCCACTGCCCCTTGTTCTATCAGTAGACATCACTGAAAATAGCCTGGCTCTGTCCTCCAGACACTCTCCCTTAACATATTTGTAAATATTGACGAGGTTGCCCCTCAGTCTCCTCTTTTCCATGCTAAAGAGACCCAGCTCCTTCAGCCTTTCCTCATAAGGGAGATGTTCCACTCCCTTAAATCATCTTTGTGGCTCTGTGCTGGACTCTTTCAAGCAGTTCCCTGTCCTTCTTGAACTGAGAGGCCCAGAACTGGACACAATATTCCAGATGCTGCTTCACCAATGCAGAACAGAGGGAGAGGAGAACCTCCCTTGACCTACTAACCACACCCTTTCTAACACACCTCAGGATGCCATTGGCCTTCTTGGCTACAAGGGCAATGCCATTCATCTTTGTAGCAGGACTGTCATTTACCTGCTTGTGATTTTCTGAAAGTGCAAAAATTACAAGCCTTACCACACTGTCCCTGAGTGTTGTTGCCAAACAGGCTGTAGGGCATTCTGATAGAAAAGGATAAGCCATTGTAGGTCACATTAATTTTCAGTTCAGGAATTTCCACGACACGATTTATGCCTGACTCATAAACACTCAAACCAAATTTTTTGTAAGGCAAAGCCACTGCCTGCTTGTTTACTGTCACCTATTAAATAAAAGAAAACAGAAAAGAGACATATTATTTTTACTTCAGAAAACAACTGACCATTCATTACTTTGCATTGGAGATGCAATGTAAAGGCAAATAATGTGGTTTTAATTTGTAACACGTCTCCCTGCGTTTCCTTTTATGTTACTGGAAAGTTAAACTTTCCCTCTCTGAGCTAAATAAATGGCCTATCTGCCTCTGATAAACCAGCTAAATTCTAACATTAACACTGAAGAGATTTACTAGAGTGACTATGGCATTGAGGACACCCCATGAAAGTGCGATATAAAATTATCCGAAATTCCTAATGCACACAGTTTTAACTTTTGTGGCATAAGGAGAATATGCTTGTAGGAAAACTGTATTAAAGAAATAGGCAAAAATCTGTATTATTTGTTTAAATACCATAACAATGGTATAACTGTGGAACTAATACCACTATTTTTACTCAGCAACACTAGATTTCCTTGCTCTGGAGAAAAAAAAAAATGTCTAAATGTTGCAAATTTTCAGCAAGATGCTGCAATCTAATTTAATATTCCCACACAGCAATGTACAAAAATAAACCAAACAAACCCAAGAGAAGACTAAAACCAAACACTTCTCACCCAAATTTAAAGCCCCAAAGCTGGGGCATCATGTTTATCAATTAAATATCAGTAAGAGCCCCTATGTTGAAAAATAAACAAGGTGATACCAATCAAATCTAGTAATGGTACTTCAAAAAATACTTAATCCTAGCACTTCATTTTTATGTCTAGTTTACATTGTATCCTCCTATTCAACAATTTTTCTTCTTTGTTACATGAATATTAATTATAAGCTAATTTATTGTATATATTATTTATATTATTAACTCTTAAAAAATTGTCCACATTTATGTATTTAAGAGAGATAAGGTGCTGCAAATATTTGAGATACAAAAGGGAAGAAGTTGTAGAAATTTTTCCACATATTCAGTCAAAAAAGCTGTCCTCCGAAGCAGTCTTTGCTTTATTAACCGAATGGTTATTAAACACAAAATACAGGTTGCTTTTTAATTTTTATTCCTAACATTGCAAATCAGGTTGATACTGTATTAATACTTAAATCAAGAAATCAAAGGTGATATTCTCCAGTACCTCTACTTGTAGAGTATTTGGTTTTACTGTTGCTATGCGCACTTCCTGAGTCTCGTGTCTCACAATGAGCGTTCGAGGACAGGAGACAACGTCCCTTGCATCACAATGGTAGTTATCAATGTAGACACCAAAGTTATCAACTGTCTTATGAATCTCTTCCACAAGGACGTATGTACAATTCCCTTGATAGCTGTAGTACAGTCCATCAAAAGTCATGTAGTGTGGGTCTCCCCAGCCAGTGCAGTAGCCTACAAAAACATATAGCTGGGTTAGCTTCTTATGGCAACATACAGAATCAGATCAGACTACAAACAGAATCCATAAATGTGGGATTCATCTAATCTAACTTTCAATATTTATTTTTTTTAATTGTATATGTCAATGCATGAGCTAATCCACAACAGAGGAAACAGAACTTTCAGGTCCCAGTTCGTCTGACTTATTTCTGATAAACTGCTGAGAATAGGATTAGCTACACTGCAAGTAAACTTTTACTGATAATGTGAACCAGTAACATGTTATGGGCTTCTAGCCTATAGATATGTGCATCTGGACATTTAAATCCTGCCTTGGCAGAGTTAATTTATTCTACTAATGCAAAATTTATGCAAAAATTATGGCAACTGAAGTAAAAGTCCAAATTAGCTAAGAAGAATCAATTAACTACTCCGAACAGGCCAACACTACAAGTCTGTGGGTCACAGCCTTGTACAACACTAGTCTACAGATAAATATTGTTGCTCTCAAGGCTCTCTAGTATCGTTCCCAAAGAAGACAACAAAATATAACTTACAATCACACTCCCAGTGCCAACAGCATCCATCCTCATCAATGACTTGCACAGGAGAAAGTCCATTGGCACATGTAGGCTTAGGAGGTGGATTACAGATTATGGGAATCACCTCGATTTTGTTGTCTTCTATACATATTGCCCTTGTGCAGTTACAGAGCCACCATGATTCACCGGGCTGTGTTTCAAAAGAGAAGGGGGTGAAGAAAAGAGAGAGAAACATTATAAAGCAGTCAGACTGACAACAATTATGCCTGAAAATCTTTTGCAAGATTGAGCTAGCACTGCTGAGAGCTGCAAAATGAAAAGAATTACTGATGAGAGTCAAGACAACAACCTCAAGTGGGAATTGGCCCTTTTTTAGTTTCAACTATCTAGAAATAAAATGTCTGATCTAATCTCATCATCTAGATTCCCTCTCTAGTCAACAGTGAAAGACACCAATCAACATCAGTGACCAATATATGATCAAACCCCTTCCATGAACGCCTAGAACAGATTAACAGCTAAAGCTACAGAGAACATCAGCTACTTGGAGAGCAATGTCTAAGGTGACTACATGCATGCTTTGTAATTGTATACATTTTCCCTGTCTTCCACCAATTTTTCAGCCATGCATTATTTTTATCCTTGCATATCTACTGAGAAAGCTAGTAGACATCTAAGCTGTGATGAGGCTTTGGAATTGTACAAGACATTAGCTTGTCTGTGACAGAGGTTGTGGGTTCCAAAAAACTCCAGAAAGTCAAATTACACGATCATTTGAATGTGCTGATATGTTTCACAGTTCTCTCCTGAAAACAGACAATTACCAAGTATGACTCATTCCAAACTCAGTCTAGTTCAGCCCTATGGTTTCTTGCTGGGCCTCACTGTAAACACACAACTGGGCCCATTCAAAAGCAGAAACAGAAAAGATAGTTTAGCACCACTTAGCCCTTGGTTGCCTCATCAAACCTATCCTTTAGAAAGCCTTTTAAAAACTATCCTTGAAGAACTAAAAGCAGTATGCAGGTTATCAAACCAAGTGTCATTGGAAGTAGTGCTGATACCCAAGAAAATGGAATGCAGTAGAATGGACTTTTCTACTCCAATTAAGATGTACTCTGTATGTTACTAACACCGAAAATATGTGCTTAGTCTCCATCCAAAGCAGAATGCTAAAAAATCTCATGAAAACTACTCACTGCATAAGATTCATTAGGTAAAATAGAACAATTTCTTCCAGGAGTGGTTGATGGTGGACTTGTAGTTGAACTTAAAGCAGTGACTGGAGTAACTGTGCTGTACGTAGAACTTCCTGCAGTGGTGACTGCACTTGATGTTGCTGTTGTCCCAGAAGTACTAGCTGAGGTAGTTAAAGTAATTTCAGAGGTTGTGGTGGTTGCAGTGACTGTGGTAAAATTACTAGAGGTTGTTCCTGCAGTGGTGGTAAAAGATTCTGTTAGAGTTGTACTGGAGGTGGTAACTGGCAAAGGGCTGGTTGATTCTGATGGTGGTGATACAGTAGTGCTGGCTGTAGACGTTGTGGAGGATGGTATTGAGATCGTGGTGCTGACAGGGGTGCTAGGTGACTCTGTCAGAGGGCTCTCAGGCACAGTGGTAGTGGTCTCCTGGGTAGGTGTTTCCGTTACTTTTGTGGTGCTGTGGGGAGAGAGTGTGGGGCCCGAAGTGGTGGATTTGGTGGTGGTTGTTCCTGATTCAGTGACTCCAGGAGTGCTGACTGTCCCTGTGCTTGTTGATTCTGATGGTGGTGATACAGTAGTGCTGGCTGTAGACGTTGTGGAGGATGGTATTGAGATCGTGGTGCTGACGGGGATGGTAGTTGATTCCGTCAGAGGGCTCTCAGGCACAGTGGTAGTGGTCTCCTGGGTAGGTGTTTCTGTTACTTTTGTGGTGCTGTGGGGAGAGAGTGTGGGGCCCGAAGTGGTGGATTTGGTGGTGGTTGTTCCTGATTCAGTGACTCCAGGAGTGCTGACTGTCCCTGTGCTTGTTGATTCTGATGGTGGTGATACAGTAGTGCTGGCTGTAGACGTTGTGGAGGATGGTATTGAGATCGTGGTGCTGACGGGAATGGTAGTTGATTCCGTCAGAGGACTCCCAGGGCTAGCAACAGTGGTGGTCTCCTGGGTAGGTGTTTCTGTTACTTTTGTGGTGCTGTGGGGAGAGAGTGTGGGGCCTGAAGTGGTGGATTTGGTGGTGGTCGTTCCTGATTCAGTGATTCCAGGAGTGCTGACTGTCCCTGTGCTTGTTGATTCTGATGGTGTTGACTCTTGAATAGTAGTACTTATGATAGACGTGGTACTTTCTGTTGTTCTAGTTGTTGACAGTGGCGTACCTGAAGGAGTAACTGTAGTACTCGTCTTTGTTGGTATTCCTGATTCAGATGTTGTACCCACTATAAAACAGGGAGAAAACACAGTATGTTATTTTAAGGAGGGAAATAGCATTTGTATTAGCTTAATTTCATTTTCTAATAAGCAAATGAAATTAAATAAACCTAAGCATAAGTCATTTAGATAAGAATAAAACAGAATCCGTTTTATTACTGGCTTTTGCATGACAGGGATTACATCTTGCATGGGAGATCCTGATTTGAACAGTTTATCAAGCATCAATATCAGACAGAACATCTCGCTGTAGTGTTGAAACTTTATTCTGTAGAGAAGAGTTCATCAGTCCTAAATCCAGGGGAATTCACTGAGTCAGTCAGTGAACTCCGGTTCTGTATTGCTGTGTTTAGCCTGTGTCTGGGGCTAAAGCATTTTGGTCTCTCACTCAATGACCCCTCTGCAGCCAAGGAGAATAAGAGGAGAGAAGCCCCGTGGGCTGAGGTATAAACAGATTTAATGAAATAAGGCAACTAAAACAAAGACCAACATGAAGTATATAAGCTTCTACTTAGCCCAGTCCTCAGGAGTAGAAGTGAAAGCAATAGGCCAAAAGAGAGGAGCCCCAGGAAATGGAACTCTCTACCTTCAGCATATCTCTTCTTTTATAATGATCATAAGGGAAGTGTTGGTCAGTTTGGGTCAATTGCCCTGACTGTAGAGGGACTCTTTACTAGGGCATGAAGTGATAGGACAAAGGGGAACAATTTTAAGCTGAAAGAGAGTAGATTTAGATTACATATGAAGAAGAAATTCTTCATATGAGGGTGGTGAGACACTGGAACAGGTTTCTCAGAGAATGTGGATGCCCCCTCCTTGGAAATGTTCAAGGTCAGGCTGATAGGACTTTGAGCAACCTGTCTGGTGGAAGGTGTCCCTGCCCATGGCAGGCATGTTGGAACTAGATAATCTTTAAGGTCCCTTCCAACCTACACCACTCTATGCTTCTATGACTTCAGCTTCCAGCTGACTCAGGATGATAAATGGACTGCCCTCCATGGCTGTTCTAGGAGTCTGTCCCAGTGAAACCAGGACATGCTGTCATGCTGTAAACTATGGATAAACCACTGTTTCCTGTGCTACTTCATGTAACATGCTCATACCAGCATTGATTATGCTCAGAGTCATCTCATTCTACAGAAAGTGACAAGTTGCTGGAACAATCTCTGTTCCATACCTAACTCTCAGTGTTATACTACTCACTTTCAAGCTATTTTGGCATTCTAGGAAGCCCAGTTTCACTGCTTTTTCCTTCTCATGTGGTCACAGCAGTTTTCATTAAGGGCCCTAATTCAGGCTCCTTTAAAATAGCTTTTATTAGCATGTCATAAAATGTTCACAATAAACAGACAGCTCATAGCCATCTGTTTAACTTTTCCAGCATGATGTGAATGACACCTAGTAGAGAAGCACTGCATACATATTAAGAGTATAGTCATAGTGCTGGAGGATAAGAGGCAGTAAGGTATGCTGCTTCTGCATACACAGTCCACGGGGACAGTCTTTCCATTAAAATTAATTCATATTTAAATGAGAAGAGGCAAACTCCTTCACGTTGAAAAGGAAATACAGAAACAGATAGTGTACTGAAAAAGAGGCAGATTCATTGGGAGATTAGGGGGTTTCGAAATGATGCCAAAACTTCAGCTTGCTTCCCAAAACAGCAGGGCAAGCTCAACAAAAATGCTCTTGGGAATACCGCAAGAACCAAAGAGCACACAACTTTGCTACATAGCAAGGAGTAACCCACAGTCTGAAAAATACATCCATAGCACAAAACTAAGCCCCACTCAGACAAAGCAAGACTTCCCATTAGTTCAGTGTCCATCTAAGCTAGGCAGAGCTGCCAGGATGAAAAAACTCTGAATGTTCCCCATAATCAAAGGAATGAAACCGAGAGCCAGAAACATGCTGCACAGTGTTCCGCCTAACCAGAGAGCTCAGTACAGGACCCACTCTACTCCACTCTCCTGTGACGCCACCTGGAATACTAACTACATCCAGCTCTGGGGTCCCCAGGACAAGGAAGACATGAAACTGTTGGAGCAGGCTCAGAGGAAGCCTACCAGTCATCAGAGGATAGAAAACCCTCCCCATGAAGAGAAATTGGGAGGGCTGGGGTTGTCGAGCCAGCAGAAGAGAATGCTCCAGGGAGACCTCATCAGAGCTTTCCAATACATAAATGCCACTTGTAAGAAAGATAAAGACTTTTTAACAAGGCATGTATTTACAAGACAAAGAGCAATGTTTTTATACTAAGAGTATATTAAGATGGGACATAAGGAAGAAATTTTTTATGATGTGGGTAGTGAGACAATGCAAGAGGTTGCCCAGAGGAAATGTGGATGACAAATCATTCAAAGTTCTCAAAGCCAGGTTGAATAAATCAGGTCTGAATAACCTGATGAAGTGAAAGCTGTTCCTGGCCACAGCAGGGGAGTTGAACTACAAGATCTGTAAAAAGGCACCTTCCAACTCAAATCTGGAAATATACATAAATTACACCCCCTCAGAATACAAAAATTAAGGCACATTGCTACCAAAACACCTTGATATCACCTATAGCAAGGCAAAAAATGACAAGAAATACAAATAATTACCTATGGCTTCTGAAGTTGGAGGCTGTTGAGTTTTTGTGATTATACCTGTGAAAATATTTTCAGTAGTTGGAGTGGGGGCTATTGACCCAGGAAGAGTCGTTGTTCTCTCCTGGGTGCTCATGGTGGTGCTGCTGGTGGTTGGGCTGGGAGGCACTGTGGTGACGGTGCTGGGAGGCTTTGATGGTGTTGCTGATACAGTTGTGTATGTTGGCGTGGGAATAGATGTGGTTGTGGTAGTTGTAGAGGGTGGTGCTGTACCAGTTGCTGTTGTCTCCAGGGTGCTACTGGGAGGCACTGTGGTGATGGTGGTGGTGGTGCTAGTGCCAGGAGGTGTTGTGGTGTGGCCGCCAGGAGGCATGGTGCTGGGGCTGCTGGGAGTCTTTGTTGGTGTTGGCGAGACAGTCGTGGTTGATTCAGGTGGAGAGGACACTGTGGTCGTAGTGGGTGATGGTGGGGCTGTTAGAAACAGCAGGAACAGAGAAGACAGTGTCACAAAATGAAACCACACTCCCATTGCACACCGTTGTTCCCACCACATCCTTCTCTCCAGCTGGAGGATGACATCCAACAGCAG